GGATTTATGTATATAATTAGCATAAATTTTAAATTGTGGACGTTATTGTAATAATATATCAAGAATACGGAAATATAGCGAAACTAGATTAACGAAAGTCTATTTTACCTATTCCTATATTTATTTAATATAAGAAGCAATTTATAATATTACAATAAATTTAGTAGAATTCCTTCTAAATCAAATCTCATCCGCAGTGTAGTTTGAACAAAATGTATGGGTAAATACAAAGTTTATATCTTTTTATCCAGTTGCAGCCTTAAGTGGTGTGGAAACCAAAGAATGTTTAAAAAATTTTTTTTGAAGGACTGACTACAATTACTTTTAAATAGAAGTATTATCTCCTCATATATTTTAGTCATCGTTGGCATTAAAATTTATAGTAGAAAGTAACATGAATAGTACTCTACTTTATATAATAGAAAAAATATGGTTCCAAGATTTCAAGTTAAACCGAATAATTCTAAAATAATGGTTCATTATTAAAGGAACTTATTTTTTAGTGAAAATAGTTTTAGAAGTTCTAGTTACTCACACATTTGAAAAAATTTCTCAACATATGCCTAATATATATATTCAACTTAAATTTTTATATATATATATTCAACTTAAATTTATATATATATATATTCAACTTACATAAATTTCATATATTTCAAAAGGGTGTTAATACAAACAGTGACACTTATACTCGGTAATATCTATTGCTCATTGGGATTATTTGAAAATATATATTTATTTTATTATCTTAAATAACCTATGAATTGCTGTGTCATAAACTCAAAAGTGTAATTTATAAGTTCATATTGTCGATATACACCTAAGCAATAATGAAGATATGGGTTTAGATGTGTTTAATCATTTGTTTTCGATATATTTAACAAAATATAATCTACATATGATACAATTGATAAAGTTGCGTACTGTATTGAAATCTTATTGGGTTTGTTGTAGTCAGTCATAAGAAGTATTTTGAACCACATTTATTTAAAAAGTTAAAAATTACAATTAATACACTATTTAAATATTAGAACCATTTTTAGAACCATAACAGGCAGCATTTTGTAAAAAAACTAAATACACAATATTGAAATAATTTTACTAATATTATTTTTATATATAATAATTAATAAATAAAAATTCTTTGATTGAATTTTTTTAAAACGTTTGGTTTAATCTGACTTAATTGTTTGTGGCTTGTTTATATTTTCAATTCAATTATTTTAATTAACGTTAAGTTTTTAATATTATTTAAACAATTCTCTAATTATATTTAAGCTTCGCGATTTCTTACTGATGCCATTGGTAGTTCAAATAGACTAACTCTCAGCTCCGTTTTTGTTGCTTTAAGTATACTATAAGTTGCATACGACGAACTTTGTAGTTATTTATTTTTCTTTTGGTACAAAGACAATTTTTCTTGATTTCAAAACGGACCACTTATGTCTCTTAATGTAATAGGATATAGCGACTAAGAAAGTCATTATGCCAATAACTTTAACCAATAACCTTTTGCGGTCATCATGCTCTGGTTCAGAAGTCCACTTAAGGAAAGTGGCTACATCTTTAGCCAATTGACTGGCAGTTGGTGGTGTGCCATCCTCGTACTCAATTACCTAATAGATCATATAAACTTGTAATATTACTTTTGCGGTTGAAAAAAAAAAAATTTAAAAATACCTCATTGTAAAGTACTTGTGCCATTGAAATGGCACCACCTGGGAAGTATGGATTGAAATACTGTCCCTCTCTCAATATAACGCCAGCTGGCGCATCACAGTAGCCGGTCAACAGAGAAAATATATAATCTTCTCCGCCTTTACGACCAGATACAATGTAACTTAAATCCGGTGGATAAGCACCATTGTTGGCAGCACGTGCAGCTTCCTCGTTGGGATATGGCGAGGGGAAATAATCTGACAATTTGCCAGGACGGTCAAAGTAATTACCGCTATCATCAGGGCCATCTTTTACCTATAACGATTATAACCGTTGTATAAATACCAAATATATACATAACTACATGCTATAGATAAATACCATAATTTGCTCAGCTTCCGCTTTAGCTTCGCTCTCAGTATGCGTAAAGCCAACTAAATTGCGATATGCAATAAAGCGCATTGAATGGCAGGCAGCACACACCTGTTTATAGACCTCATACCCTCTCCGTACGCTACATAAAAATATACGTGAATTATGCATTAGAATAATTTTCACATATAAGTATGTATATACATACCTTTGATGGTCAAGTGAAGAAAATGCTCCATTGTGACTCCATGGCATCGCTGGCGGATGCACTTCAGTTCCCGATGCCTCCACAGACTGTTCTAACGCAAAGACAAGTGCACCCACACCACCAGTGAGGATACCAAGCGATGCTAAAAGCTGTTAAAAATATAATTTTATTATTAATGCAACTATTTATTAACAAACAAATGCTTTTGAATGAAGCATAACAAATTTTAACTAAATTGATTTAAGGTTATGTTACTTCTTCAGCTGCAATTACGAAATAAATCAACAGCAGCAAACACTTTTTTTTAACGACCGGTGGCATTCAACTTACCTTCTTTTGGCCATTCGTCCAGTTTTTAGTTGTAGACAGTTTATTTGCCTAAAAATAGATAATAATAACGTTTAGAAAACCCAAATTAATTAAAAATTGAATGAGGTAATAGCATTTTACTTCGAGGAAATTTTACTGGCAGGTTACATAATTGTTTGATAAAGTTTTCACTATTAACGAAAATTTTGTTTATAAATGGTACAATAAGCACTAAAAACCGTTAGAACAGTGATAGCACTCATTATTGTTGTTATTATTGTTTTAATACATAGTTTTGGAAAGGATTTTGGAACATTTTCAATGTTACATGCTTGTGAACAACGAATTTCAGTTTTCGAAATTGACAATTTCTGCTTGGTGAAAAATTTTTATTTGTTGGTTGTGCAGTTTATTACCTGCTGTAAATTAATTGAAGATGCTGATTTTAATAATTTGGAGCTACAAAATCTTCCTAACGACGCCGCCATGCTGGCCAGAATTGGGTACAACACGACTTTTTGTGGGATGAAAAAAATTCGAAACTGATCAAAGTGACTTAAGGCACACACACACACGAGAAACAGCAGCAATTGTATATGCAAAAATCTCTTTGTGGTTGTTGCATTTTTGACATTTTCTCATGTTCGAAAATTAGGTAATGTTTATAGATGTCGCTGTTTTCGTCTTCACAAATAAAAACAATTGCGTCAATAGAAACAAATTTAATTCTTAAAATGTAATGTTTACATAAATTAGTTATTATTTATAATAAAATGCAATTATATATTTATAAACAAAAAAGTTTTACGTTTCTGTATTGAATTCTTTCATGTCAAATGCAACTTAAACAGTGTTCAACTGCTGTATTACCATCACAGCTAATAAAACACATACTAAATTAATAAGACTTATATTTCTTTCATTTATAAACAAAATTTTATATATATTTTTATCTGTGCTTGTGTTTAACTTTTGCTATTATTACTTTGCCATAAACCCAATCAAATACGTGTTTTCAAAAATAATATTCGAAAATAATTACAAAAATATTTTGTGCTGCCACACCGATTATTTTAGTAGACAAATATGTTTACAAATAACATATAAAGGCCGTGTGCGAGTTCGAGTATATGAGGTTAAGTAAATTGACATTTCCTGGGGATTTTTTGCACTGCACTTATGTACATATTTATTTATTGAATTTATTTATTATTTTCGTTAAGAGTTTTCAAATTTTTTTAATTTATTTATTAAAGATTGTATAAAATTATCATAATGGTAATACCTAATTAAATTAATTTTTTTTTATGTATAACATATTAATCCAAATGTTACAATTTGGAATATATGTACATTGAAAAATATACGTTGAGATTATCAGATGATCACAATCCGTTACTTTACAGTTTAAATGCATTCATAACTGTTCAATAAATTCGAATTAGGTTTTACTCACAAAAGTTTTTTACTTCTTAAGTTTTAGTTCTGCTAAATTCAAAAATTAGTCCAGCCATCCTTTAAAATCATATGAGCATTTCATTTACTAATAAATGTAAATAATTAAATGATTAAATTAAATATTTAATTAATTTAAATATATATGATAAAAATGCTAACCATTGCCCTTTTAATAATAAGCCTTTTCAGTGACTCGCCAGTATGGCAAAAAATGCATGATGACCTATATTCGCTACGTGAGACATTGGCATCACTGTGGCAATTTCTCAAGTGCTATGTTTTGGCAAATAGCAAAACTTGCATATAAAAATAAATAATTAATATAAATTAAAAATTAAAACAAATGCAGAATTAAAAGAATTAGTGAAAATGTTACAAATTTCAAAACAAAACACTGAAATTTTTTCTATTTCCCAATTTTTGAATTTTTGTTTACATATGATTGCAATAGTTCGCTTATTGCGTTGGTAACACTTTTTTTTTACTGACCGATGTGTTTGGCCAGCATACCTGTACTGGCCCACGTAGAGAAAATAGTGTTGTTGTTTTGCGTACATTTCCGCCAGTATAGGCCAGTTACTTGCTATTTTTTACCATACAATCTGACACTTAAATTTCAACACGTCGTGTGAATAGTTATTTTTGCTTTTTGATTTCAGATATCAGATGTAATTTTAGCTGTCGTTTATAATTTCAGCTGTCAATTGTTGTTGCTTTCAATACAACAACATATGGCTTCCCAATGCAATTATGGCTTTCCATAATTTCGATGTACTGTAAAAAACAAGTTTTGATAATTAAATAATTTTTAAATAATATAATAATCATAAATTTTAATATGACCTAATGAAAAAATACTACTACTACACTACTACTATTGATACAAAATTTTTAGTACTATTTGCATAAAAGCTTACATTTTAGGTATTAAAAGCTTAGTAGGCAATACTTTTTTATTTAAAAACAAAAAAAGTAGAAAACGTCAGTTCAGTTGACAGATTAGTCAGCAGGCTAAGCCAAATGTTTTTTAAATATTTTGTGTGAAACTTTTTGACTTTTTATGTGTTTCGACAGCTTTTGTGTTTTAAATTAAGAAATAGTAAGAAATGTGCTAATTTGAAGTTAAACAAATTTAAATTTTAAGGCTTTACTGCATTCTTCATCGCGGAATAATGCATTTCTTGAACTGCGGCACTTAGTGAAATTGTGAAATGGAAAAAATTGTTAATTAGTGCAAGTCAAGAATCAAAATTAATTTAAAATTCAAGCAACAGATTTTGTGATTGTTATTTTTAATGTAATATTGAAATGGGTAATAAAACAAACGCGCTAAGTGACACTGTCGATAATGATGAAAACCCGCAAGACCAAGCGATAGACAAAGACATAGGTGGGTCACCGGAATCGCCTGGCGAGAAAAAGAAGTTGGATGATGCCACCAAATCAGTAAAAAATGAGTCAGAAGGTGAGATTTATGCATTTTTAATTAAAATCAAATCATGTTACCATCGCGGTGCGAGGGTAACGAGAGTTCGCTACTTCTTGTTCTAATATTCATTCGTTGTAGTTTTTATTTTTGCATCAGTGATTTTACCAGTTTTGGTTCTTAACACGTATAGTAAATGTTTTAATTTTTATTTTGTATGTAATTAATATGCATTTGCCAAATTATTAAATATTATTTAATAATATTATTTTTGAGTTTATTATAGAAATGCATGTTTTGCAAAAATAAATATAAACTATTTTAAGCATGTGTTATTCATTATAGTATTTTATCATAAAAATTTTGCGGTCAGTAATTAAAATAACCCTTCTTGTTATTTTTTCTCTAATTACTAAGGTCGTGTGCGAGTTAGGCTAAGTTGATGCTAAACCAAATGGGAGATTTTTTGGGATTTTTTGCACTGCACACATTTAGCCATTTATCAACACGTATCGACACATCACTACATTATCGGCTCATCTTAGAATTTCCCTCATTTAGAACGCAACTTAGCCTAACTCGCACACGTCCTAAGTATACATTATATTTAAGATACTTTTGTTTATTTTAAGATACTTTCCTCAAAAAGTTAGAAACTGTAAGAGCCGGGTAAAAAAATGAATGTATATTATATATACTATTATAAGAATATAATCACTGATTTTTTGAGGTGTACTTGACATGCACTTAAATGTTAACTTCCATTCCAAGGTTGGGATTAAAGCACTTTGAACAGTGGAGGAAAATAAACGCTTAGCTTATAAGTTCACATCCTGCGATACACGGATAACGGATTTAGTACCTCTTGAAGGCTTTTATTTAAATTATTGAGATCTAGATAGCGGAATATTATTAGATTTAGCTTTAGCTTTAAATTGCAACCAGATTAGAACAAATCTAAAGTTCTAAATTTTTCTGAACTTTCTTCAAAACTAGCACAATAAATCTCTAAATATAAGATTTGCGGTGATTCATAATCCCTTCTTATAGTAAGAAGAAATGTATCAAAAACCGAATGTGATAAAATATATAGAAAACAAAAATGTGAGACTGTTTACGGCTCACCTTATAAAAAACTCTAGATAAGAACTTGTAAGAAAGGACTTTACTTTGTTAGACGTAATCAAAAAGGTCTGAGCATGTAAATTCAAAAATTGTAAAGTTAGTAATGATTCTGTGTATATAAATGGTAGAATCGTTTTCTTTTTTTATATTAAAAAAATTTCTATATATATTTTATAAGTTTATACTACTAACATAAAGTCAGGAATTAGTGTATATATTAGATTACTTAAATGAATCACAAAATTTGTTGTTTTGTGGAAAAGCAAACAATTCTCAAGCAATTGGTGAACAAACCAAATGCTTAAAGACTTAGAACCAATTAGTGGAAAAAAATTTGCTAGCTAAATACTGTTTACTATATACTGTAGCGATTTCTTTTCTATATTATGCAAAAGCAAATGTGGACTGTTATACATAAAAACGTGCATATATCCACAATTAATTCGATAGGGTTTGTTTGGAACCCGTACGAAAAAAAGGACGACCCAAAATATCATGGAGAAGAACATTACACATCGAGATTTTAGCAACGTGGAAATCGTGGAATGAAATAAGACCTATCGCAAACAATCGGACAACATGAAAATGCGTAACTGAGGTCCTTTGTTTCACAAAGAGATAAAGGGATTAAAAAGTCCTAAAAACTCCTCAGTGGTCTTATCAAATCTTAAACCAAGCTAAATGATTTTTAACTTGGGTCCACGACCATGGCCATATTAGGTTATCCCACTAGGAGATGTAAAGCAGAAGGTTGTTATGAATTAATTTGCAATATATGTTTGGCCTCAAAAAATATATTGGCGGTCTTTATAATAAAGCGCTTTCATAGTATTCGACAATAATGTCCTTGTTATAGTAGTTGTCGATGTATTCAGACTATCAAAACAAAGATCGACGGGAATTTTACTAGATTATGCTTTAATTATATTTCCATCTGTGTGGCATATGAACCTGATTAACTGTTTCATTGGAAACTTTCTGAAGGCTTTGCTTTGTTTCTTACATTGTCAATTCAAGTTCGTTTGGCTGGTTCTAGCTGAGGCCAGGCGTATGTCCCAAAGTTACGAGTCTGTTCAGACAATCAACTGCAGTTGAGCCGTCTCAATAGATATACAGAAAGCAGTCCTGCTTTCAAGGTATCCAGAGGAATCACAATAACTTAATTTAAATACTGCAGCCGTAGTTGATAAATACCATCTAGATATATGTAGATAGATATGTCTGGATGATATCTATTATACTATCTATTAGCAATTGAATCAAAAAAAAAATTGATTTGATTTTAAACTTTAAATAACGTTGATGTTAAGTTTTCAAAGTCTTCCTTTTTGGTATATAGTTCAGAACTATTTTATTTTTTAAGAGTTAGATTATAGTTTTAAGTATCCGATTTAGTTAGAAATACTCTCGTATAAAAAGAAATTAATTTGTGCTTATAAAGGCGGTACCAAATTGCCTATAATATTTCCTTCATATATATGATCCACTAATATTAAATTTTATTAATTTTTGTTATCATCTTGCGGTTGTATTTAAATGTTTAACGTGAATAACATATATAAAAAATGTTTAATGTGATAAATATGTAATAAACATTTTTCAGTTATATTTTATTTTTTTTTGTGATAATTACAGTAAAAAACATATATTAAAAATAATTTTTATTTAAATACAAACACATAAAAACACACTATAAGGTTTGTAGTTTTATGTTTATTTTTTCATTTAGAGCAATATTATTCATTAACAAATATGTCTTCACTTGTGTTTCATAAAAATTAATCTGATAAGAAAACAATCAATATCCAATTTATTTAATTTTTTTTCAGCTTCCAACAGAGAAATACAGATATCAACAGATTGCATGTTGTTGCAGGATTTAAACGTAAAAACCACGCCCATTGTGCTAAAACGATTTATGGATCACATGAAAGATAAGGACTACACAAATCAAGAACTATTTTTTATTTTGGCATATATTGTGGCTCTGGAATGTGGATTTGTCACAGAAGAAGAATATGAAAGGTGCAAGAACTCATTACAACATAATTCAACTGTATCGTCATACCACTCCAAAAACGTGTTAACAATATCACGCCTATCACCAACATATTCATTTGTACCAAACAAATGCTTCTTTCAGATGAATTTGTACAGTATTTTTGGTGTTGATACGAAAAGTGGTTGCGGCAGAGCACTTCTTTCATCTTTCAATGGATATACAACTGGGGAATTTATGATATTAACAGTCAGTCCTGATCATGCCATCAAATCAGAAGGGTACAGCATTTGTTTGTCTGTGGAACGTTACGTTATGAATTGTAGCAGAGACAGACCCATATTTAATAGGTTTGCTCGACTTGAAGAGTTTGCAACCACATTGCGAGATAAACTGTTCGTACCTATTCGAAATGGGCAGATACAATTATTGGAGTTGTGTTGCCATCCATCAATATTAGGACTGCCTAATGAGATCTATGCTGATATAATTAAACATTTCTCAGATCGAGAGTTACGATATTTGGCAAAGAGTAACAAACATTTAGGTAATATTGTTAATGACTACAAGAAGAGAAAACAAAAGAAGAAGAATGTCTGTATATTAACTAAAAAAGAGAGCAGTGAAAGCAGTAATCTTTATGCAGATGATGATTATACGTAGTATAAAACTAATATGCGTACTGTAGGGTATTTTACACAACTCACTTAGCGATTCGAATTAAAAATTTTAAAACTCTTTACAAATGTTTCTATAATGTGAACTTCTCCATTTTGAATAAAATAGTGTGATTTATTTTCTATGTGATTATAATTATTTTATATTATATTTTTTGTAAATTATATACGCTTATGTATTATAAGCTTGCTTTCAATTAAATTAGGAAACCTCTTAAAATTGTTGTAAAAATACTCAATGTTAAAATGACATATAAGGAAAGGGTAATAAAATTCTCCATATAAATAAAAATGAAATCCGTAATATTGACTTTTTATTATTTTACTATTTTATAAGATGAATAACACATTAATAAATTGATTAAAGTTTTCGATACGTTTTCAATATTTGTTAATATGTGAGCTCTACAATATGGTACAATAAGTCCTGATAAAAGAAATAGTTGAAGGTTATTTTATAATATTAACATTATATATATATATAAAACACTTTGTTACTAAATTATAAATTAAAAATTTTTTTAAAATAAATTTTAACAAAAATAATATAAAAAATAATACTAGAATAAATAAGTTAACTTATCAAGAACTTATCAACTTGAAATCCTTAATCAGAGAAACAAAACTTTGAAGGTGTATTAGCATACATTTTAATACAATGAGAAATATTCGAAATTCATTCGACATTGGTGAATTATATATTATGTTAATATAACTTCAATCATTTTATGGATTATCAAAGTAAAAACTTCTTATTTCATCGAGAAACTAGTGCTCATAACAGTATCTTTGGCATATATATGGTCAAGTTAGAAACTCTAATATTTTAGAAATTCTAGAAACCTCTAGAAAGTTAATATTCTCTCGATAGGGAACCAATGGAATCGATGCGCAGGCCTATTAACTAAGTAAAGACAAGTCAGCTCTGAATTTATATTGTTATAAAACACATTTGTTGCTATAAATTTATGGTATCGTTAAAAGGTAAGTAGCATTGGCACGTTAACCCAGAATCATGATAGATTCTGGATTCTAGAAATTCTTGGAATAATAAAAAATATATCATATATACTAAAAAGTAGGTCAATAGCTCTCTGTCTTATTTTTACTAATATGTTCTATATGAAAATAATATAATTTGAAGACAGTTTATTAATATTTTCAATATTATATAGATGAAAAAAAAAATATATATAGTACATCTAGGATACAATTTTTTTAAAGGCAATAGAAAGGAAGAAGTTCAGCGAACTCATCTACATATATATTGAATATTATGTATTCATTTATTTTTAATAAATTTTAAATTTATTTTATGTATAATTTTTTAATATATTATTTTTAGTTGTATTATTTATATATTTTTTGATTATAAGATGTTTCAGATGTTCCTTTAACTCCTACCTCTGAGGTTGTTGATTTGACAGAGAGTGATATACTAGGTGAGTACTGAGTGAATAAAACTTCTGCTTATTTATTTATTTATGTGAGGGTGCCTATTTCGCTATAATTGTTTTATAAATTTCTTAAAAAAAAAAATAAAATAAAATCAATTAAAATAATTATAATGTCTTCATATATGTATGTAAATGTATTGTTTTCAATTAAAATAGTCACCAGGTGAATTAAAACAATTTGAATAAATTGGTATGTAAAATTAAATAAATATATTTAACATATACTAAAATATGTTACATATATCAGAGATTATTCATATTAATCACTTACTACAATATTACTAAAAATACTTTTATAAATAATAAAGAAATATCAGTTCTTCTCGTTGAGATTTGAACTAAACCGATATATGTTAAAGGTCTGTTATCAAGAGGCTTTAGAATAATTTTTTAGAGCTAAATTCAAAAATGATGGCAAAAAGAAATTCAGCTTATACAGCTTAAAAAAAGAGTGGAAGACATATAGACAAGCAGACCAGTTAAATATCGCTACATCGCTTTATATTCTGTTGTTGATGAAGAGTATATAGAGTGGCCCAATTGAATTGAGCTGGTCAGCATTATGTCTTTAAGACAAATCTAATTTAATTAAATCAAAAGAAAAAAATGAAAAATTGAAAACAATTAAATTTAATTTATTCTTCAATGTATGTATTTATTTTTAATTTTCTTCAGAGTGAATTATGGCGCTAAGTCAATCAAGAAATACATCGCGCCCGATAAGACTTTTGAACTCAACTAATTGGGTTGCGTTCATATTATGTGTTCATATTGTAAATTATTGAATTAGTAAAGAAGTTGTTAAAAATTTTGAACTATACTTTATTTTTGAAACAGTCGAAGTCGGTGCAAATTATTTCATTAATATTAGGATTGAACTATATAAAATAAAGAATACTATAAAATAGAATAAAATAAGCATAGAACGTTATAGTGAAGCGTAGCATTGTGGTCTTAATGGATTTTATGAAGAGTAAGTTGTCTCTAAAGTAAACAGAAATATTTTTCTCCATTCCATAAGGGCTATCCTACTTACCACTATCTAATCTTAGAGCAATCAGTCTCCACACGGGGAGGTACGCAGATCTTAGATCAATCACTGAATGATTATGAAATTTATGAGTGGTATACAATTTAGTCAATGAGATGGGTGGGACCCTGTAGTACCCACAGCTATCAAAGAGTAAAAGTGCCTAGTTGCGCTGACTCGAAAAAAAAGGATCAAAAAAAGGATCCATAAGGGCTAAATTATTTTCCATCAACGAGCAGGTACTTATTGAGGCCGTCAATATTTCCCGCAGGTTAGTTAGCTGAACGAAAGCACGTTGATAAAAACATTAACACTTGACTTGAACAAAACTATTTTCCCTTCTGATACTCTTAAAGGAACCAGTGAAAGGCAAGCCACACCAACTATTGTTCACAATATTGTGTTATTTTTCCGCAGCTATTTGGGATTTCACACAAAGTTATGTAGATTTGATTAGTCTACTTTCGGTATCTTTACAAGGTAAATGAAGAAACAGTCTCGTAGGTATTGTAACTGTTTCGTCTGCAATCGGAGGCAAATACAGATAGTGTTGAATATATTTTATTTTCTATTCGTAATGGTAGTTTCTACACACCCAGCAAAGCACTTATACAATGTTTAGTTAGTACCTCAAAAAGCACACGAGCTGTAGATTTGCTGAACCGCAAATGATTTTTCATTTTTCTTCTATATAATGGCCATAGCGACCTAGAAGCTTTATAGTCTGTGTGGTTAGTGTGATTAGTTTCTAACTTTTTGTTATCGTAGTGGTGAATTCATCTAGGCTCCTAAATATTTTTAGCATTGGGGTTGTTTTTAATGATAATGCGCTCTGAGCTATTTATTTTGGATTATATTTATATCGAAGCTTATTTTTGGCTATATTATCTGCTAGTTTCTTTCATCTTTCGATGTTCTTATCCGTATATATCCAACAGAGAGAGACCTTGTGATATTTAATGCGCATTCCCTAGAGATCTTACAGTCTATATTACTATTACATATTAACATTGGGGTTTGATCGATATCGCAGTAATGAATTCATTTACCCTGTGAGTTACTCAAAATACCGGGTTTGCATTGAAGTTTCAAGAGTATCTTTTGGCCAACTCATCTATAAGTCGTTACCTTCGATATCCCCATGTCCGGGAATCTAACAATAAGAATCTTTATGAACTTATTGGTTCATAAGTTCATTGATATCACAGTGATTAATTCATTTACATTGTTACATACTTAAACCATCGGGGTTTGCATTGAAGTTTCGACTTCATTTATATCCATTCGAAAGTATCTTTTGGCGAATTCATCTACAAGTCGTTACCTTCGATAACCCCATGTCCAAGAATCTAACAAAGAGAATCCTTATGGTTTTATTGGTTCATAATTTTATCGATATCGCAGTGATGAATTAATTTACGTTGTGAGATACTTAAACCATCGAGGTTTGCATTGAAGTGTCGATCTCATTTATATGAATTCAAGAGTATCTTTTGAACAACTCATTAACAAGTCGTTACTTTCAATATCCCCATATCCGGGAACCAGAGTCTTTATGGTACTTTCTTCATTTGACTGTTCTGGATTTAATTGCTTTGATTGCTGCCTAACTTAATACAAAGATAGTGATATTCGAATGTCATAGTGTACTGACTTGTATGAGCTTGACTGTTTTTTCGATCGCGTTTATCCCAGTTTAAAACAATGTTAGGTAGCTAGCAATTTTAGCTTTGTGTTAACGATT